TAGCGTTGCAAATTGACGACCTGACGACCTAAGAAATACCTGATGCAGGAAAATTTGCCATGTCCTAAAGCACCGATCCAGCGATGGCGAGTTTGCATCTCGGAGGTCAGTGGGGTGGACTTTGAGCTCTTGAAACAAAAATGCCTCCGCCAGGGTTAGGGGCGGATACCATCAATTGGACAAGCTTATTGAGCTTTCTTAATTGACATATTTTTCATAAATGTTTGGTAGCTTTTTTTTTCTTCTGCTGCAACGCATGAACATGTTTGCTATAGTAGTAGTAGTAGTAATAATAATAAAGAGTGAAAGTTTCTCTTCGTTGGTCCCTCGTTTCTCTCTCATTGTTATCGCTTTCACCATCGTTCTCACTCATCTTCTTCCATCGTTTCTCTCTCATTGCTCTCGCTTTCACCATCGTTCTCACTCATTTTCTTCCATCTATTGGTTGTTTGGAGCTGCAAAATCCTTTGCCAGCGCCGCATCACTCATGCCATGGTCTAGACGATTGGACCCGAGCCCATATGTATCACAATATAGCTTGAGTCATGTGAGCATGTGATTCATCTTCCACCTTTCTCAGTCTCAAAATAGCTATGCACAATAGCCGCTTATTTAGCCCGAGTCAACCTGAAGTCAATTTTCTTTCATATAAGATTAATCTTTTATTGCATATAGCATTTATAAGATTGAATTCGGGCTAATTTTCTTATGTCGTCCATATCAGGCCTGGACGTCCCTACTTTGCTAGGTAGGCCCAGATGCAGCTTCTTTGTTTTTATCATTTAGATTAGAAGTGTCTTTTTAGCTTTCTATTTTTGTATATGTGTATAAGATTTGTTTAGTATAAGATTTGTTTATCCGGTTTCCTTTCAGTTTCTTTGTTTTAATCTTTAGATTAGAAATGACTTTTTAGAATTCAAAAATAAAGAAAAGTCTTTTTAGATTTTTTATCACTACTGTATATATGTGTATAAGATTTGTTTAGCCGGTTTTCTTTTAGGAATTCTAGCGGAGGCAGTTGTACAACGACCTCGGGCTTTATTTGTTCTCCTGCAAAGTTTCATGAACCTGGTTCTGATTGCTTTGGGCAATTGAGCAAACGTGAACTCCATCGACCCACGGAGCGATCTTGATGGCCGCCCGGTTCTGGTTGCTTTGGGCAATTGAGCAAACGTGAACTTCTTCGACCCACATTTTCCACAGAGCCGGGGTAGAAGTATGCGCCACAGAGTGCTCTTGGTGGCCGCTTGGTTGTCCGTCTTCCTCCGTTTCTTCCACCACCAGACTTTCTCCCCCGTCTCTCAATAGCCTATTCGTTTGTTGGTTTCAGACAGAGCTTATCAGCCAGCCAATAGTGTTTTCTTCTCACAACAAACCAGCACTAGCCGGGTTTATCAGCCTAGAAACCAATCAGCGTGATGGCCGTCTGGTTTGGCAGACAATACTCGTCTTCCTTCGTTTCTCCCACCGTCTCCCCAGACCCTCAATCCGTTGTCCCTCATTTTCATCATTTTTGTGCTTTGATTTTAGAGTTGTAAAACCTTTATTGACGCCGCACCATTCATCTAATGACTTCTCTCCCTAAACCCGTGTGTAGTTACGTGGCTTGTGTAGCTATGTGGCTCGTTTTTCACCTTTCTTAAACTTACAGTAGATTGTATGGTCACCGCTGGGTGGGGGGCGTTTTTTTGGTCCGGACAAATTGTCCCGCTTGCCTTCAACTTCGATCGCACATCGTGAAGCAACCTACACGGTCAGTACAAAGAGCAGCTTATGGAGCTGGACGGCTTTGTCAAGTGATTGTATGGTCCGGGACATGCGCTTCAAAGCAGTTAGCCAATTAAAGATCGGAGAGTCGCACTTGGGGATTGAAGAGGAGCAGTGTGTGTGTGTATATATATATATATATATATATATATATATATATATATATATATATATATAGAGAGAGAGAGAGAGAGAGAGAGAGAGAGAGAGAGAGAGAGACCAAAGTATATATGGCCACCGCTGGGTGGGGGCCGTGTTTTGGTCCGGACAAATTGTCCCGCTTGCCTTCAACTTCAATCGCACCGCTGGGTGGGGGCCGTGTTTTGGTCCGGACAAATTGTCCCGCTTGCCTTCAACTTCGCAACCTACACAGCTGTACAGCAGCAGATTGCGGGGCTGGACGGCTTTGTCAAATGACTGTATGGTCCAAGACATGCGCTTCAGCAGTTAGCCAATTAAAGATTGGAGAGTCGCACATGAGGGGTTGGAGAGGAGCAGATCGACAGGGACACACGGAAGTTCCAACGGAGATAAATTTGGACACTGGTGGAGTACTGGACCTCTAGACAGCGCCACAAAGATAAACCTAATCGTTACAGGTATCCAGAACGAGAGCCTCAGTATACACATTTCCCCCCCTGGCGAATACAGATTATTAGCAAGCCTCAATAGCATTATACACGATTTCACACCACGCGTCGAGAAATTCTGGTCAATCCCGATTCAAAAACAGCAGGGAAAAAAAATTAAACCGAATGCAACAAGTTAAAACACCACGGCATGCATGCAGAGCCTGCTCAACCGACGAGAAGCAACACACAGCTGCTGATAGCGTCGTCAATTAAGCGTACTTGTCGGCGATGTCGGTGAGGCAGCGCACCAGCTCGTCGGGCCTGGAGAGCATCACGACATGGTCCGCCGCGATCTCCTTCACCTCGTCCACCGGGTTGTTCTCCACCATCCAGCGCTGGAACTTGTCCACGATGCCGTGGTCCTCCGTGCACACGATGTACACCTTGCGCACCGACCCGTACCTTTCCTTGGTGTAGGGTTGCTGGAGCACCAGGTCCTCCACAAACATCGAGCTCACCCTCAGCAGAGATGCCGCGAGCGTGAGGTCCTGTAGATAAGGTGACGACACATCAGCACGCTGCGTGTGCTTTTAAGATGCGGAAGTGATTTGCACCTGATAACAAGGCTATGACACGCATCAGCACGCCGCGTGTGGAAGGGAGGACCGGAAGAGACAGCCAGGACTTCTTTAAAATTGCTGCACAAATTCCACCGTGAAGTAACTCTAGAAAAAAAAAATCTGAAGCACGTTTTTAGGTGCTCTCTTAACTCTATTTTTTTTAAGCTACACCTATTTGGTTGAAAAATATGGAGCGAAACTGAAAAATGTGGAATGGAACAGTCCCAGATAGGCTCTTAACCATTTACTTTTCAAATGCTCAGTAGCTATGGTCACCCGGTGCTGGATCAGAGATAGCCTGAATTAGCCTTGTAGCCCGACTTCTTTGCAGAATTTCGTGCTAGCCGGAATGTGTTGGACAATTTGGAAAACCATGAATAATCCGGTGTTCTCAAATAAAATGGCAAAATCAACTAAACATAATGCTTACTACAAGGTTTTTGAGTTTGTTTACAGAATGGAAGATCTTAGCGAGGAAGGAGGGATGATACATCACCTGGAGAAGATGCTGGAAGACTTGAAGACAGGACTAACAAAGTGGTGAAGAGCTATTGTTACCACACAAAAAAAAAAAAAGAGCTATGGTTTGTTTCTTGACATATTTTTATCCGTTTTTACCAGTTTTTTTGTGTTCATTCAATAGGCCTTTTTGATATTTGACATATCTTTTTTATATATTTTCTATCCGATTCTGTTTAGGTCTTGTTTGGATGTACGTATTCACTTCAATCTATATATGTTGGAGTGGAATGGAATGAGACTTAGTTTAATTTCACTCTAATCCACTTCGACACACGTGGATTGAGATAACGTAATCCACTTCGACACATGTTGATTGAGATAAATACATGTATATCTAAATAAATAGAGCGTTTTGTGGCACCGCAACACCTGGTTGGCCAAGAATGTGTTAAGTTGTTGACAGATTTTGGCCCACTGCCCATAGATGTGGCGAGTGTTGACAGATAGCTACGTCCAGATGGTCCTCCTAATAATAATAAAAAAAAACTATGGCTGTCGACAATGGATAGGTACGGTGCTGTTCGTCGTCAAGGTCCATCCACGGCAGTTGGCATGCACAGCGATATTAACTCCATTCACTGTGCGCGCGTGCAAATAGTCAAAATAGCTGTCCTTTCAGTCGAGGATGACGCTGACGCGAATGGACATGGTGTCCTCTTTATGCACATTAGCTAGTGCTTCCACCGTTTATGTTTACTTGTCAGCAATTTTTTACTGTAGCAAATTTGATTATCCGTTTTTTCTTCTAAAAATCTTAGATACTCTAATGTATATAATATTAATGAAGTATGTTCAATAAAAAATTATATATGTGAAAACTTGATCTATTTAAAAAATTTTTATAGAAAAAAAACGTATGATCAAAATTGCTACGGTAAAAATTCGGTGACAAATAAAACAAAAAAACGGAGGTAGTAGCTACTGATCCAGTGATCGACGAACGTTACCCTTTCAACTCGATTCGCACGAGCGGCGAAAACAAAATGCAACTAGCTTGACTCACACGAAAGATAAACAAATCAAGACTCGTGCATAGGCACGCGCGGCACGTACCTCGGGCGAGCAGAGCTGTAAGAACTTTTCTCGGATGATCCGGGGCCCGAACATCATAGACATGGGGAGCTTGCCTTCGGCGTCCTGGGGCTTCATCTCCGTGTCCATCCAGTCCAGCCACTTCCCCTCCACGAACTTCATTCATTCGTTTCATCAAAAATCAAAAGGCGAGAGATAGACACAACAATGATCAGTTCCTCATTTTCTTTTGAACAAATTGAGTAAAATTCATTCACGCTGAAAAAGCGCTGTTCGATACGAACAATTGAACAAGAAGCAAGCATTGTACATCGAGTCATCGTAGCAAGTGGACCAGTCGCTTTACTCTATTTCTACCAGAAAAAGACATCTCGTATCGATCTTCTCGACGGGCAAACTCAAGAAAATGACACACACCACCACCAGGAGCGGGGAACATCTCGAATCTAGGAAGAGAGCAGCCGGCCGATCGCGGCTGGCCTCTCACCTTTTCCATCACGTGCGACGGCCGCGCTGCGCAGTCGGGCATGAAGGCGCAGAGGAACACCACGGCGGCGACCTTGTCCGGGAACGTCTCGGCGGCCAGGGCCACGTTCACGCCGCCGAGGCTGTGGCCGACGAGCACCACGCGGTGGCCCTCCGGCAGCGACGCGAGGAGGTCCAGCAGCGGCTGCGTGTAGTCCCGGAACGTGGGCACCTCCCGCAGCGGCCGCGGGTCCACGCCCGACGCCGCCAGGTCCGGCGCGTCCACGCGGTACCCCGCCGCGCGGAGTGGGGTGGCCACCTTGAACCAGGACCAGCCGCCCAGGCACGCGCCGTGGACCAGCACAATGTGCTTATTGCCGCAGCCGCCCTGGGCCGCCGCGGGAGCGTCCATTTTTTGTGATTTGTGCTGTGGAAGAACACTAGCTAGACAACCCCAGGTCTCTTATATATGCGCGCGCTCGCGCGTGGCTCACCTCACCTCTTGTGCAGCTAGCGATACGTGGCTCGATCGGTCTCCGAGGTGACGGGTTTATTAGACTGTACAGCATGTTAATCAGAGGCTTTATTATTAGGGAGGATAAGCAATTCCTAACAGTCAACTTTGGAGGGCGAGAAGGGAAAGAGAGCAAAAAATAAACGATGTGCGCTACGTCTCTCGTAAAAATACGTCATGTTCGCAGTTCATTCTAAATGTTTATTTAGAGTAGAATTAGGGGTGTCGAATGCTAATCGAACAGTGCGCGTGACGTGCGAATCTGGCAAATCATTCTCCAAAAAAAAACAGGCAAAACCATCACCGTTCGCTGCAGGCGGAGAACGACTTCGTTCGTCGTCGTGTGTGTGGCATGCACCGCACGGCAGGGCGGCTGGCACAGCGCCACCGTTGGAAACAGGAGTCGTTACTCATCAGGGTCTCAAGCGGACACGGCCAGGCCAGCAAATGAGAGTACAGCTGTATTATGGAGCCTCCGGCAATCTAATCTAATGGCTACAGGCTAACAGATAAGCACAGGAAACTAGGCGTCAACGGTGCGCTGCACATGCACTGTGGAGTTGCCATGCATGCAGACAATAAAAATAGTGCATGCACCACAAAAATAGGACTCACGTTGAGCGCGCGTCGCGTAAACAAGTCGATCCTCCAGCTATACACCGAACAACTGGGCCTTGTTCGATTACTCAGTGTTCCTCCTGGAATCAATCAAGGTGATCAAAACTTATACAAATTATGCAAGTAAACCGGGTAGGAATAATTTCAGGCCACAGTTCCCCTTGAAACGAACGGGCCCTAGCATTACCAACCGATTTTCCTGATCCTGCAGCTGGGAGGTTCAGAGTTCAGTTCAGACATGTTGCTTACTACAGAGGGTGGTTAAGTCACAGATCAGAAATGTCACTAGATCAGAAAGCTTCCTAACGCAAAAAACTTCTGCGGCGCCAGATAATCCTGCACGGGGCAGGCTTACTTTCTCAGAAACAGATTTACCCATGAGGTACACGCACCTGAAGTACCGCCGAAAGAGCACTTTGACCTGAACTATGGACATGCTACCATATTCAAAGATCAAATCAAATTGCGCACTTCATCTTTCGTTTCCAGGTCCCGTGCCACTCCAGAAGACTTCGTTTCATTTTTAAAGTATCATTTTTTCCAGGTCCCGTGCCACTCCAGAAGACTTCGTTTCATTTTTAAAGTATCATTTAATCCAGCAATTATACAAACATTATCCGAGGACTGACGAGATTGCCGCTTAGATTAATCAAAACATATTTTATTTACCCATACGTTTGTCCAAAAGTAAAAAAAAAGACGTACCCAGTGCAGAGAGCTCCCGCTCTGTGCGGAGTCTGGGGAAAGGTATAAGTGGCAAGCCTTACCCTCGCCTGTACAATGCGAGAAGACCACGACTTGAACCCGGGACCTTCCGGTAACAGGCGGTAAGACTCTACTGCTTGCACCAAGCCCGCCCTTCAAAAGTTCAAGTAGCCTCCTTTAAAAGAAATTTGTAACTCTTTCCTATGATCATCAATAATTGTAACTCCTTTAAAGTTCAGATCTGAACACTATTCAGATATCTAAAATGTCCTACCGTTGCCACAACAAAAAAAAAAGATATTTGCCTAAACTATTTGGTGTCTGGAACTTCTCGAAAAAAAAAATCGAGACAAGATGTCTGGAACTTTGTTTGGATAGTATTTCTAGAATTTCGTCAATCCTAGGATCAATTTTGTAATTTTTGGATGAGATCATATTAAAAGATATAAAAAAGTCAAACAACAGCCAGTTATACAGATTTCAATATTGCAAATAACAAACAGCCTTTGTTTCAGCCGATAACTAGCATCTCAAATGGACACATTTATTAGTGTAAGAGCTGTGAAGCGCTCCTCGTGAGAAAAAGCTTTTCACTCAAAATTTTATCTGTAATAACACTTTCCTGTGCCTATGTACAAACATCTCAAATCAGGAAATCATGGTGATATTCGCAGTGATGTGGCTACTTAGTACATTAGCAACCAGCCAGTTCTTTAGTTTCTTCTGTACAAATATTAGTAATGCTATGGCAAGCAAGGCTATCACTGGCCATCAGCTTGACCTCCTGTCATCTTCCCCATGGAGAGTGTAAAGTAGAGCAGAATCAAAGTCCCCACGCTGGACCTACAAATAGAAGTATATGTAAATAAATGATGTAAATGTTGCAACACAGGAAACAGTGTAGCGCATCCCCAGCAATTCGTTGATATTTTCACATGTCTACGACATGATTACTATACTCAAACTAGTAAATGGTACGGAGTACGTTCTAAGTGTTTTCTTGTGTAGAGTGCGTATGTAGATCCTCAATAAACTGATATACAAAACAATATATACAGAGACATGGTTGTACGATTTTTTTTTAACTTCCAATGTTCAGTTGTCCACATCATTTGATTTTCTCTATTGTAATATGATTAATCATTGTTGACTTTCAGAAATCCTTTAGTTGTCATAGTACCGTGTATGTACATTCTGTCCAGCAATAAGAATGCCAAGTTGAGATGAGTTACGTGCTTGCACAACTCTGCAGCCCAAAAAAGAAAAACGAAAGGACAAATTCAGAGCTTCAGACCCTGAATGGTCCTTGTCTTGCCAGGATTAGAAACCAAACCACGGTTAGGCCCCGTTCGGTTGTTCTGGAACGGGCCATTCCGGGCCTGGAACTGTTCCTCCGTAGTACAAATTTGTGAAGGAAAGGGTTCGGCTGGGAATCAATCCCAGATAACCGAACGAGATCTTAAGGGGCCTACAATGGCAACCAGTTTCATCCAATGACTTTTGAGGCTGGACAATTGCAGCTATAATTCTCCTGACAAAGTAGCACTATATTAACCTGAAATCTAACATGAATTCATAAAACAGCAGGCAACAATGAAATAATTTGGTAACTATTTTCTTATTATTAACTGCATCGGTGTTTTTTAGTGGGAAAAAGGGAATGCGGAATGTATGTAAACAATTTTATATTCGTGTACTAATACTATGTACTAAAGACTAGTGTCCAGATCAGTGGTGATCAGTACAAATCAACAGCCAAAGCATAAAATTTCGAATAAATTCCTTACATCATGTAAAATTACTGTAATTTCTGACGGGATCTATCTGATAAATAAAGCCAGATGGAACAGAATGCCTGAATCCTGATGCTTTTAAGCTAACTATTGAGCTCTTCATCAAAAGGAAAGGAAGAAAGCAACAAAGTTCCTAACAGCTGGCCATGACACATACAAGGCAACACGCACGATTGACCTGCAAGGGGCCCTTTTGCTACTTTAATCATGTAGCTTGAAGATGACAGGAAAAACTAAACCCGGAAATTGAAGAAAGAAAATTGTCTTGTATGGTGCACAGGGCACACCACATGGTCAGAGTATAGCTGCTGGTTACTTACAATGCTGCAAAGGCGAAGAGGATTTTCCTGGGATCGCGCCATCCCGGAACACGACGGCTGGAACGACGACGCTTTGCACCACCTGCAGTTGGCGTGGAGGGGTGTAAGTGTTCCCTCGGGCTGTCATCAACATGCACAGGCACCGTCTGCTTCTCATACACACCTGTGCAAACATGAGGAAGGGTAATCAGATGATACGTGCACAGTGACCACCAATCGACTATAGCAAAAACTCTGATGAACTATTCAAAAACAGAAGGAAAGAAAGGCACGTAAAACGCGCAGAAAATCTTGGAGGTTGGGTTTTCTTGGACTTCAACAAATTCTCACGAGGGCCACAACTACGATGGCTATGGCACACTTGGAAATCAGACACGAAGCCATGGGTTGGGATGTAGATACCGCACAACACAGACTACCAGTTATGCAATGCAGCCACATCGGTCACCATAGGCAATGGTGCAAAGGCCCAGTTTTGACACTCGGCTTGATGTTATATTATTGACCAAAGTACCTTGCACCAACTATTTTTGTTCTGAGCAAGAAAAAGAACATAACTATGCAGCAAGCTCTCACAGATGATGCTTGAGTCCAAGATATAAACATTCGGATGGTTGGATCATCCCAACAGCTATCTCAGTTTCTGGACCTCTGGCAGGGAATACAAGAGGTTCAGCTCAATCCAAATGAGATGGACCAGACAACTTGGAAACTTAGCATGGACGGGGAATATTCAGCACACTCAGTATACATGGTCCAATTCCATGATCCTTGGATCGGTGAAACGTGAATGGGAATATTTCTGGACCTCTGTTATTATTTGGCGCAATCACCAAACAGTTGCCGAATGGTGGCATGCTGCGGCCAAGATCTCTGTTGGCTCTAGTTTTGTCTGTTTGTTTTTTATTCTTTCTGCTGTTTGTCTTTTTTTCTTTTTGTTCATGTAACTCTTCTTCTCCTATATTAATATAGCTTGGCAGGCCTCCTGCCGATTCTTTTCCAAAGTCACAAGAACAGAGTGATCGTGCGTGTGAAGTATGGCTTCTTCGATTGAGTTACCCATACAATAACTCTTTCTACCATTTTAACAAAAAAACATATAGTGATATAGTGAATTGATTACAATAATACTTTTCATTACTCACAATGAATTGCTAAACATTCTTATAACAATTGAAATCATTTTTTAAGACCGATCGACATCTATTTCAGAACACAATTATTGCTATTGGAACCAAAGCACAGGTTTGGGGCTAGATTCAGATTTTATTAGCCTTATCACAACTATGGCAGGTTGGGGGTACATATAGGGTAGTTTGCTTGGTCCTTAAGAAAGGATTACAGCATATTCTAGAGATGCTAAAGCAAGATAAGATAAAGATAAGGGCTGACACAGCCACCAACTACTCTAGATAAGTATCATAAGTACATAAGCACAAGACTTACGCTTTCAATTTGCCAC